TATATATATATATATACACACACACAAATCAGCTCTCCAGTTATAACAACAGACACCCAGATTATGGGGCAAGAAGAAAACTTTCTTTGTTCTGTTCACATGAGCTTCTAGAAAACTTATTCTGTATACTTGTCTGATACTATACTTAAGAAATATGGGTGGGATTTAAAAAGCACACAGCATTGACCACCCCTACCTGAAGTCAGTGGGGGTTTTCCCCAGGTTGCAATAAGAAGCAAAGTTGGCCAATGCCAAGCTAATTTGAAAAGTCTACTTGTAAAAGCTAATAAAGAATCCTGTGTAGATCCAGCCTTCACCCATCAAACAAAGACTGTCAACAGTGTGTCCCTGGAGCCTTCATGAGTTGTACTAGTGTCTGTAACCAACAGCATCTACACAAGGAAGCCATTGGCTTTCATCACATCTGGCTGCCTTTGGCTTCCTAGCCCAAGCGATCAAGCACCCTACATTGAGACATGATGTGATGCAGAGTGGCCCATAGCATGCATCTGAAGTGGGAGAAGACATGCTTCTGGAGGCATCTGACATGCTCTGATATCAATATCCCACCACACGCCTTCCAAAACCCCTCACTCCAAAACCTCATTTTTTGCAAAAGCAATTCCATGGGACCCCTCTGCAGACATACACTCAAGATAAAAGTGTAAAAATAATACTGATCATGTATGTGTATTTACATAAATATACAACAGCATCCACGATTCAGTGAATGAAGGCATTTAAAAGAAAACAGAACAGAAGCATTAAAAAAGAAGAGACTTCTCTGGGGAAAAAAACAACTTGGGTCTTTAAAGCAGACAAAACAAATGCATGTTTGCATTCACGGTGAAGAAACACTTAGATATTTGAACACCTAGACAGTAAGAGAACCAATGCTAACAATCGTACCTGTAAAACCTGCCAAACATACAGCGCAAGTCCCTGATCCCCACATCGTCACTGTTTCTTTTACCTACAGATCTACCCCTTCTTTGAATAGGGCCTCACAAACTGAACCTTGCAGTTTCCCCTGTTGTTTCCCCTTCAAAACTCAATTCCAGCCAATCACACGGGTAATTCTAAGAAACAATTTTATTTTCCTCTTGATTTTTGAGTGGTTTTTTTTTTTTTCTTGTTTTTGTTCAATTTTTCCATCGGTGGAGCCAATAGCCTGTTTACTTCAAAACAAACAAACAAAACCTCCGTTTCCCCCCCAACTCCCCTAGTTGCTTTCTTTAATGACATCTTCAGTCATTAATGAGTTAATAAAAATCTCAAAGTCATCTGGGGATAGATAAGGAGAAAGAAAGAAGAGTATTGTACACATAATGACAGGCTCCCTGCTGCCCCTAAGATGTCATGGGTCAGCCATGTTAAGAATGTGTGCACCCAATCATCTGCTGATTTTTATCAGCAAGGCCTCAAGCAGAATCTGACACGGGCCAGTTTGGGAGTTACAATGAATAAACAATGACTTCTTGGATTGTTGGCGGCTGTATGATAGAGTGAGGGGGTTTATATATACTAAAACATGATGACATTAGCAATCAATATACCAATTACTGGACAAGTTATTGGACGAAGAATGCACATGTCTCGAGCTTTGTGCGCTTTGAATGTACAACCGGCAGTGGAAACCCACGGTAATAATGTGGCTTAACCCCTCACAAGCCAGGCAAGCTAAAAATCGGACAGAGCCTTGAAGTCTCCCAGACCACGTGCGAAGGGAAAAACCTGATCGGATTGAGACTGTTGAGTCTTTCAGATACACGACCTGACATCCATTTCTCTTTCATTTAGGCGTTAAGGGAAGGGAGGCTTAGCTTTTCATGAGAGTATTCAGATTTTACCTGATTTCCTATCGAATGTAAAGAGAGGGATTTCTTTCCTGTTGCGTTCTATAGAAGTCTACAGGAGAGAAGTGAACGTATTACACACTAGATAGTTATTCAAAAGGAAAAAAAACAACCCTATTCTATTACATTCCTTAGGAAGCATAAGGGAAAACAGACATAGAAATGTACTTTTCTATTGTTCTGGCGTATTATAGAAGCCTGTCCTCTTGCTTTCAGTCAAGTGAGCATCAGCCATCCAGATACGTTACTTTACTCAGAATATTCCATGTTTATGAGGTCGTCCTCGGTTACTATGGAAGTGATTGCAAAGATGCAAAGCCAAGGTTATAATTCATGGCAGAGGCAAACAGGGTGAAAATGAGTCACTGCAAAAGGTCAAATATTTAGATGACAAATATGCTTGAGCCTTAACTCTTCCAGTTGCACACTCTGTGGAAGGGTGCTGTGAAGCATTACTGGCCCTGCTGGAGCAGCCCAGGCAGCCTGTCCTGGGGTGATTTGGTACACCCTCTGTGCTAGCCACCAGGATGGCCCAGATAGTTCTCCTAATGGGCTGGCACTTCCCCAGCTCAGGAGGAGACCTCACGGGGGAGTGGGGAAAGAGAGCTCTGGTCCCACCTCTTGCCTGCTGCTTTGTTTCCCTCAAGGCAGCAAAGACTGAGAAGTCCCTGTTTGCAGTCACTGCTATTATGCTTTGCCCTTGCACACACCATGCTACTGTGCGTGGGAAAGAGAGTCTTTGTGTGGCCTTCTCTACTTTCTGTGTCTGCTTATAAGGGCAGATCTCTAAGTAGCCCTTGATAATTAACAAAGAGCCTGCTCCCTTTAAAATCACCAAGGATCCCAATCATATATTGTGCGTGGGAGGGCGTGTAGCTGCTGCACAGTTGCTACGTCTGGCTCTGCACAAGGGAGGACAGGGTAAGGGTGGCAAAGACATGGACCTCTGGCTTCCTCTACCACCAGGTTGATCTGTGCAGCTAAGCCAGTGTGGAAAGCAGGGAGCACAACGCATGAAGCAGAGGGATGGTACAGCTCACATCTCCCCTAGATCAAGGGGGAGGCAGGTCCATGTAACAATCTAGCTCCATCACAGAGCCCTTTCATCACAGCAGGACCAAAGTGTGACTCAATCACGGATGAGTTTTTGTTCCCCTTATGCGGTATACATTGCCTCTCCTTAGGGCTTGTGGGAACACAAAAAGAGCTGGCCTTCTGCGTTTGCCCTTCAACTACATGGCAAAGCCATCTGACCCCAAACCGGTGAGCCAAATCATGAGAATGCATTGGATGTAACCAACTAAAAACTTCTGAAGTTTTTGGTTGGTTACACTGGCGTGTCCCTTCCTTTGCCAGGCAAAAAAACAGGTTTAAAAGTTTGAAGGGGAATTTGACTAGGAAGGGCTAGAAGTGAGCAACAACATTTTCAACTCTAAATGCTTCATCAAATGGTACCATTTCCATGCATTACTGTACAGTAAATACAGTTGGCAAAAAAAAATCTCAATAATCCTTCCTCCGTAATTTACAATTAACTTTTTGCCTCAAGGTAAAAGCCACATTCACAAAAATAATGGTAATAGATTGACCTTGTTATGAATGGATAACAAGCTGGGAACAATATACTTTGTCACACAGCATTAACTATTAGTGTTGAAACTGTAAATAACGTGCATGGAACCTCCAATGTAAATGGCTCTCCTTAAAAATATTAATTATGTCAATTAGGCGCTTGATACATAATGAATTGTTCTGAAACCTATTTAAGCCTATGTCAGATGGAGAATGTCATATTCTCCGAGAACGTTCACAGGCAGCATTTACCCTATGCTGCTCCAAACATCGGCAGCTGTGTATATACTTCCACGTCAGCGGTGTGTTGCTATAGCTGCGTTGTGAAGCAGGCTAAGCATCCGAGGTGGAATCCGGTCCGAAATGTTTACAATATATGTGACCACTTCTATTATTTGGATTAGCTAATTTTTTTTTTTTTAAACTGGTGGGTATGCAAGCTAATCCTGCAGCGTTCCTCAATAATGGTTTATAGCATTCTGGGCCTACTCTCTCTGATGTAAAACAGCCCTAAACCTAAGCTTCTCTGGCCACTGGAGGACTCTCCAGCATGTCTGGATGAAGCAAAGTATTGGAGCGGCTTTTACGTCCTTTCCCTCTCCCAATTTATGACAAACAGTATGGCACAGAGGAAAGAACAGGGATCAATCTCTGCACTTGGATGATTCCCCCTTGGGACGATATTTGCTCGTGACTGGAGAAGAAGTACAAAGTGGTCTGAAATCACTTTCATCCCCTTTCCTAACTGCTCGCAGCTGTAGCTTGGGATTTGCATCTGTATTTAAGACCAGCAAATGTCAGCCTTCTGGCTGCTTAGTAGGTGGAGGACCTTTCTAAATGTAACAAAATAGCATCACACTTCAGGGTGATGCCCACAAATGAAGGACAACATTAAATGCCCAGTGCCAAAAAAGAGTTGCAATAACTGGGTGCCGACGGTTAGGGCTACCAGATTCCAGTGAAACAAGCTCTGAAAAACTGGCAGGCATCCCAAGACAGGTTGTCATAGTAGATAGTAACCAGCCGAGAAGTCCCTGGCATGACCGTTCTCCACGAAGGCAGGGTAAAGCCATCGCTCTCGACTTTTGCCTGAGTCACCAGACTGGGACCCAATTCATTCTTGGCTCGTCACAGACTCCCTGCTTCTGCGTGTCAGTCTTGCACACCTGTTAAAATGGGATGATAGTCCTTTCCTGCCTTATCCACTTGGCCTGCAAACTCCTTGGAGGAAGGGTTGGCATTACACGTTGACTCTTGGGGGCGGTCTGCAGAAAAACTGGGCTGCTCATCATGATGCCCTAATAAAATTGGAAACCTCCCCAGGTTATGATTTTCATATCTTACAGGGTGGCTCTCGTGCCTTATCAGGGGG